GTGTGCGTGCGTGCGTGCGTGCGTGCGTGCGTATGTATGTGTATATGTGTGTGGCTTTATTTCTGTTTCTCCCTGTCTCTGCCTCTGTCCCAGCCCTTTGAAAAAGAATCAAGTGCTCTCAGTACGAAAGAAAGTCGAAGAAACACAAACACCCCTCGCTGCTGGTTCGATGAATACATTATTTCACCCCTATGGAGAATGGGGAAGAAATACTTTGCTTGTGACTGAAGCGAACTGAACTAGGGTGTCAAGACACTGTATCTTTCTGTCTCATTTTGCTTTGTCAAACGAGTCTATCTGTCTCTCTGTCCATCTCTTTTTGTGTGTTTTAAGTTACATGACTTTTGTAATATGTTTGTTTTTACTCGTTTGTTGTTGTTGGTTTTTGTTTTTGTTTTGTTTTGATGTTGTTGGGTTTTGTTGTATGTTTGTTTGTTGTTGTTGTTGTTGTTGTTGTTGTTGTTGTTGTTTTTTGGTTTTTTTTCAGGGGGTAGCGTTTTTTATGGGAGTGCGGTCACCCTATTTGAACAGTATCGTAATGTTTTGTAAAGATTAGAATTTTCTTTTCCCGTTTTTATTTTTTTGGGGTCATCTGGGCTAGGTTTGTAGGGTTATGTTATCTAACCATCAAGGAAATCCTGCTTTTGCTTTTATGATAGTAGTAGTAGTTGGACGTCGAGGTTCAACGGTGGAAAAAAATTGTTTTTAACTCACTAAAACAAAATATATTCCACTACTAAAAAAGGACACCAGCTTAATGCAGTCAAACCTGCGGAAACAATCACATGTACAACACCGACACAAATGGCCACTTCCCAATTTCCCCCTTGACCTTTTTCTATAACATAATAATGAAACTTTCCAGGACGTCCACCTGTCTTGGACCACCTCTCTTCTCCTCGACAATGATGGGAAGCCTTTTAAAAAAAAAAAAACAGATTAAAAATTGGACTGTGAGATTCAGAATACACTGCCAATCGAATTTAGTCGAATTGAGTCGAAGCCTACCAGATTATCCTCCATGGAAGTGCAAAAGCCACCATTTTGGCACAAATTGGTTTATCAAACCCTCCCAAATCAAACATGGTTGTTTTTTTAGAATTTAATCAAACCGAACCCCTAAACAGACATACTGTTTTTCTCGGATTGTTCCTCTGTGAAAGAGAATCGTGGACGGGCTCGGCTGTATCGAGTGAATCAGACATATCGAGTGGGCGATGTACCCTGGGTATTTTCTTCTTCGATCAGAACTCAGGTGTGGAGCAGACAGAATATGGCCTTTATATAGCGCTCGCGCTAGTCTCCGAAGCGGAAAGTCCGGGTTCGAGCCTCGGTTCGGACACGGATTTTTTTTGCCCCCTCCTGCCCACCCAGCAGTAATGGGTACCTGAGTTGGGGAAGTAAAGGCGGCGTGGAAAGGAACTGGCC